ATCGATGTCTTGGGTTTTCTTTTAGCATAATTCGACAATTGTCCTCAGAGGAATAGAGGTTGATTGGAGACAAACCAATATCTACTTTTAACCGATTATGTCCCTTGTTTAGTGTAAAAGCATCCACATCCCTTTTTCATCAACTCTACCCACTTGCATAGATACATGCCCTTTTTCACAATTTTTTTTTTTAATTCATCCAAAACATTTATTAATACAAAAACTCGAATTATTTACAGTAGCTATTGATTATTACTTGAATAAGCACGCACCTAAAGGAACAACCAAAACATTTCGAATATTTAGTAAAAAGAGAATCTTTTGATTAAATAAAACCAAAGTACAACTAGTCTTAAAATAGTGTGTTAACTTGTTAATCCAAATTGGGAAAAGCATAAATCCTCGCAAGTCTGTTTGCTGCGAAAAAAAAAAAATTATTCATTTAGAAAAAAAAAAAAAACTGAAAGAAGATTCTGAAGAACAGAGAGAGAAAGCAAACGAGACATGACTACTGATTTCAAATCCTTACCAGTCATCGGTACTAACGAAAAACCCTAAATTATATTCTCTTTGCTCTGATTCAATCTTCACTCAAATTCGATGTTCTTGCAGACATCTCTCCTCTATTGCTCAAGTGTGATGATCCCGACATGACGGAGAATCCCGGCGTGGTTGAGGTTGTCCGGCAACTGGATAGAGCTTGTCGGGACGCCGGATTCTTCTACGTGGTATCAAGATTGAGTTTAATTCATTAGCTTTTTAGTCGAAGTTGACTTTTTTTTTGGTGGGTTTGAAAAAGATCTGATTTTTTTCTTTTGGGTGAGTGGAGAGTAGACAGGGCATGGAATTTCAGAGGATCTTATCAAGAAAGTGAGAGAGATCACGCGTGAGTTCTTCAAGCTTCCTTATGAGGAGAAACTTAAGATTAAGATGACTCCAGAAGTTGGATACAGGTTTGTTTGTATTTACAAACTCTTTCCAAGAAATCGAACAGTTTAAAGATCGTTTATTGATGTTCTGTGAACAGAGGATATCAGAGGATTGGAGAAAATGTAACCAAGGGGACACCAGACATGCACGAAGCCATTGATGTAA